CTCCCTGTTCTAAGTGTGGTCTCTCCCATGCCCATTCTGGACTTAGTTGCACAGCATTAGCTGCAGGTCTAGGTGTGGAAATAGATGCCTGACAGAGAATGGAGATAAGCATCACAGGGATTGGCAATTTCTTTTTAGTGCTGCTGTTACACTCCCTACTTGGTTATTTCAGTGTTTCAGCTTCTCTGTCTGTGATATGGGGTAGTGGTACTTCAGTCATGGAATCGTAATAACAGATGATTGGCCTGAGTCAGAAGGGACCTTAAGGATTATATAACTCCAACCCCCTGCTATGGACAGGGCTGCTCTCCACCATATCAGGCTGCCCAGGGACCCATCCAGTCTGGCCTTGAGCGCCTTCAGGGATGGAGCACCCACAGCTTCTCTGAGCAGTTGTGCCAGCACCTCACTGCAATCTCAGAGAAAAACTTCCCCTTACATCTCAACTAATTCTCCCCTCTTTTAGTTAAATTCCATTCCCTCTTGTCCTGTCACCATCAGACAATGTAAGAACTCAGTAAAGGTCACCAGGGGTAAAGCCCCCTGAGCTACCTGGGTCTGCAGGGAGCTGTGCAGTGGATGGAGCAGGGTGTTGAGCTCCGTGCTACTGTCCCATGGAAACACGGTAGGGAGGTGAGTGCCTGTGTTCAGCTCTATCTGAAGTGAAGACACAGGGGTCTTAAGTTCTTTACTATGAGAGTGGTGAGGTGCTGGAACAGGCTGCCCAGAGAGGTTGTGGATGCCCTATGCCTGGAGATATTCAAGGCCAGATTGGATGGGGCCCTGGGCAGCCTGGTCTAGTATTAAAAGGGGAGTTTGGTAGCCCTGCATGTGGCAGGAATGTTGGAGATTCATGATTCTTGCAGTCCCTTCCAACCTGACCATTCTGTAATTCTGTGGGTCAGCAACCGGGATGATGCTGGCAGAAGACCTTTGCCTGGAACCACATAGAAAACCTGAGGATCCATAAATACGCTTGGCAAAGCGAAGAAGTAGCGCTGGTCAGAAAAATTCTGACTAAACAAGTTTTTGTTGGAATTTACCGATTCATCAAGATCAAAGCACTTTGTGGAGAGGGTCCAATTTTGACAAAGTTCTTTCCAAAACCAGGCAGGGCTTGAAAACTGCCTGCCAGGCACATTTCAGAAACCTGGCTAGTTTTCTGCTGATTTACACCCTTGGTTTCTCAGTAGTTCACCAAATGGCCATGAAGGAGTGTGGATTTCCAGGTGTGATGACTCTGAATCATCTCCTCCTGTGCAGGTCCCCAGGTGACAGGCTGAGCTGGGCACAACAGGCAGGGTGCTGCAAAGGGCCCGGCAGCTCGTAAAACCCGGGGCTCAGGGAGGGCAGCTCTGCAGTGCTACCACATTTTCTCAGAGCCTTCTTGTTAAATAGAAGTTGGCTGGCCTGTGTGCTGCTGCTTTTAATTCTGAGCCCTTTCACTTTGAGTTTGGAAGCCTTGAGTCTGAATTTTCTCCTTTTTATGCCCAAATAATTCAATTGATTTCAATGGAATTGCTGATCTGCTGAGTTTGTGTAAATCAGAGTTTTCAATTAATTGCCTGATAACCTTTGAAACATAATGTGTCCCACACAAATACCTAGATATTTCACCTTGGTAGCTGGAGTAAACAATTTTTCTTTCTTTTCTAATGGAAGATAATGGTAGTAAACTGTAGGGAAAAAAAAAAAAGAAAGTAAGAAGAGGAGGAAAAATTACAGACTGGACCTGGTTCTTCTCAATATGCAATTCCTCCTTTTTTATCCCTTGCAGCTGGGTTTGTGTGTGTATAAGTGTATGTGTGAAGGGGAAGGAGAATGAGGAAGGGGTATTTCACATTTCCCATGGTATGTTTTGTTTGCAGTTGTGATAGTTTAATTGATAGTGCATAATCTCCAGGCCTTTACAAAGCTTTTTTTGAGCTTCCCTTCATGGAAGAAAAAATAGCTGTTTTTTTTTTCACAGAGGACTTTTCCAGTGTCTAGGGTAAACATACAGTACGGGAGGAGTACAGAAATATGCCATTGCTTTCAGGCTTGCCCATGTCCAGATGTGCATCCCAAAATTTGCTAGCATTGAGGAACTTAGAACAGGCTTAAAGAAGCAGGATTTTACTGAAGGAAACTGGATTTTACTGAAAGAAACAGGATTTGACAAAAAGGAGCAGACCAATGAAAACTGAACAGAGAACATTTTCTTTCATAGTACCTAGTATTTTGCAATTGTGTTAATTTACTATACTCCACAGTAGCATGGTTGCCTTGTAGAGCATATTCTTTGCCTTCTAAATATATGCTAGCATTTTTTTTCCCATTTAGATGCAAGATAATTTTCTAGGCAATATATTTATTTTAGCTCTTTTTTTTCCCCCCACTTCCCTAAGTCTTATAGGATTTCTCTCCTGTCTTCTTTATGCACCCATAACATCAGCTGTTATTAGGTTAAGATCAGAATTCATTGTGGGGAGCAACAGTACTGCAAGGACTTGACATGAGATCAGAAATAATGCTGCAGTGAATTTAAAAATATATATATACTATTAAAAAAAAAAAAAAAAAAAAAAAAAAAGTAGCAAGGTTTACGGTGCCGAAAGCTCTGGGTTTCCCATCCAGACACCATCTGTGAAGCACTTGGGGACAGTGCCTAATGTCTGAGTCATCGTGTTTGGCAGTCATTTACCCAGTGGTCTGTTTCCCTTGGGGGAGTATTCATTGGGGGAGAAAAGGAATGGTAGAAAGAGGGAAGATAAACTGCCCTTTAGCCTCATGATTTATATTTGGTCAGAGTACCCCTGTTCTATTTTCTTTTACTTGGAATGTATCTTGGACATGTTGTTTCAATATGAGACAATCAGCTGGGCTCTCAAAGGAATGTCCCTGGAGACTCGGTGCAGCCTCCCAGTAGGGCAATATGTTCAGCAGAATTCTAAGATGTATTCTCCAACATCTGCAGTCTATTTGTGCCTCCAGAATATTTCCCATCAGCATTTGGGGAATCAAAAGGCGCTTTGAGAGATGGTCACCAATTCTCCACACTGCATGATAACTTGTAAAATGTTTACTTCTTTAAAATTCTACTGAGCTAGTGGTTTCTTTCTTTTTCTTTTTCTTTTTCTTTTTCTTTTTCTTTTTCTTTTTCTTTTTCTTTTTCTTTTTCTTTTTCTTTTTCTTTTTCTTTTTCTTTTTCTTTTTCTTTTTCTTTTTCTTTTTCTTTTTCTTTTTCTTTTTCTTTTTCTTTTTCTTTTTCTTTTTCCTCCTTCCTTCCTTCCTTCCTTCCTTCCTTCCTTCCTTCCTTCCTTCCTTCCTTCCTTCCTTCCTTCCTTCCTTCCTTCCATACATCTATCATCTATCTATCATTTAGAAACTAACAGCAGAAGGACATGTAAATGCACTTTAAGTTACTCTTTCATATGAACAAGTTCTGAATTTAGTAGTCACCTCTTGGTGGGAAACAAGAACTATGAGATATCACGGACAGCACAGTGAATGTATGTTCTGGCTATGTGACAGCAAAAATGACTTACAAAACTGACATTAGAAGTGGGTTCACAGTCTCTTGGAGAGTGTTATGTACTGCATTTATGGTGCCATATCTTAATTTGATTGTTGTGTTTTGTTTAAGTACTTTAGTATCATCATCTAAAAAAGGCAGACACAGAATTAGAAACAAATTCTAGGTGGGTAACAGAAATATTAGAAAGCAACAGAGAACATATTCCCTGTAAGAAGAGATTGAAAAGATTATTTAGTCTGGATAGTAAAAAAAAAAGCAAGAGAACATACAGCATAAGAGTCAGAAAAAATAATAGATAGTGGGCAGAAAGCCAACTAAAATCTTCTTCTCAGCCTTCATAGTGATCTAAGAATTGGGAATGCTCAGACACAAAAAGAAAAAAAGAATAATTGACACAATGTGCAATTGATCTCTGGGCACCAGTGTTGCAGGATATTACAAGTACGAATAGCAGACAGTTGGCTGAAAGACTGAGAAGATTGCCAGACACCAATATTAAATGAAAATGTCATCTAGGTAAGATAAAAATAAATCCATCTAGCTTTATTCAGAAGGGCACATAAAGGTAAGAAGAAAGATAGAAAGATGAGTATATTACAGGGATGGTGGGAATACAAGGGCCCATGTGTTCCTGTGGCAGACAGTCTCAGTCACCTGTTGATGTTCGTGGTAAGCTATTGGTAGGACACCGATTTCTGCTTGAGTTCAGCTGTTGGGAGCATCCATTAATAAATACTTGGGTGAAGTTCACTTCCACTGTTACTCTTCTGCACTAACAGTTTTAAAGCAGGGAATTGTAGCTTTTCATACAGATGAGAGGAGACATTTCTCAGCAAGACAGTGACATTGCAGAAATTATGGGCAGCTTTGCACTAGCACTGCTTGTATTAGCTGTGTGTGGCTGAGTAGCAAACTCAGTGGAAGAAGTAGGTGAGCTATGACATTCCTCCACTTCAAGGTGAAAAAACAAGCTGTGGTGCTGCAGACGAAGCATATGAGTTCACACCAAGCAATAAAGAAAACACCTAAGGTTTTGATTTCTTTTTTTTTTTTCTGAGATCCTTTTTCTGTTCTGTGAAAGCCAAATAAAAGCAACAAATAACAAAAAAATCCCTAAACAAACAGTTGAGACTTTGACTTGCGAAACTGTATTTGCATGTTTGTTCTGAAGAGGTTCCCATAGCCCGGCTCTGACTTTTATCTATCCCCACAGGATGTACTCCTACACTTTTTCTTCCAGGGTCCCATGCTTCCTGTGGGTGTTCCCACAGCTGCCAATTCAGACAGCTTGGGTCTGTAATAGGCTTTGCACAATTTTGAAGATGCTTTTCTCTCACTCAGTCAAGTGACTCCACACACGCACGCACACACACATACACACACACACACAAAGGCAGATGTTTAGCATCAGGAATCAAAACAGAATTTTCGCACCACACAGCACATTCTTCTCTTCCTGATACCTTTCATTTCCTCTCTACAGGATATGGAGCAATTTTCCTCTTTTGCTGCTGCTCATGTGAACTCAGGAATCTGTGAATTATTCTAGGACATCTGAATTCCCATGTAATCTTCTCTGAGAGGTACAGGGGTTTGGTTCACTGATGTCTCATGCTTCATTTTTTTCTGCTTAAAAGATAAATACAGTGTTTGAGGAGAGATAATAGCACCGGATTACTTCTTGTCCTTGCAGACTGCGATTTTCAACACTTGAAATACAAGAGCTTCTGAATGCAATCTTTCTGAAGAAAAAGTCAGCTTTCTTTCAGAATAAATGCTGTAACTGTGGGCCAGAAATTTCAGAAATGCTACCTAACTTTTCTGCAGAGGGTTCTGCAGGTCCTGGAACTAAAGAAAGCCAGACTCAGCTGATGCTGCAGATGAATCCTCCCAGTGGTGTCAATGGAGAGACTCACACTAAAATTCTGGCTGTTTGTGGCTTTAGATTGTCCTGGGCCATTTTCTTGAGGTAATGTATCATTACTTTAGGTGCTCTGATGGTGCTCTGCATGTAGTCCTTGTACACCAGGCTGTTGGATTGCCTAGAAAAGGTGTTCTGCTGAGCCCAGCTCAAACTCTTTCTTTGACCTTCAGCGCTGCCCAGAGAAAGTGCTTCTGCCACACTGTATTGTCCAACACAGAATGCCTACAGACAACCATGCAGTTTGGTACGAAGAAAAACTTGGAAAAAAATGAGTGCTACCAGTCCTAGTACCCAACAGGAAAGGAGGACCTCATTTGTTTGCAACCAGATTCTCTGTCACAGAGATCCAGGGTCCTCAGTATATCTTGGGTTTAGCAATGTGACGCATTTTGTTAAACCATTAGGGTAGATTTAGACTAGACGAGGGTAGATTTAGACTAGATATGAGGAAGAAATTCTTTACTGTAAGGTTGGTGAGACACTGTAACATGTTGCCCAGAGAGGCTGTGGATGCTGCCTCCATGGAAGCAATCAAGGCCAATCTGGATGGAGCTTTGAGCAACCTGATCTAGAGTGAGCTGTCCCTGTCTATAGCAGGGGGTTGGAACTAGATGATCTTAAAGGTCCTTCCAACCTAAACCATTATATGATTGTATGATTAGAGACAAAAAAGGAACACATTATATAACAAAAGAACTGCATGGCAAACACATATATTCTTTAAGCCATTCATTCATTAAATCACTTCATCAAAGAATTGCAAGCTTTCTTTTCTCGTGGTGGGTTTGAGACCAAAATAAATATGTGGAACATTACAAAATTATCAACACGTGAAATATCTTTCCATCAAGGCACTATGCTGCCTGTGTTGAGCAGGTCTTTAAAGGAACCTATACTTGTTTGGAAGCTGCAAAATTCACACAGAACTGCCCTCTTTAGTTTTCAGTATATTTTAGTGATAAGGATCATCTGAATGCTTTTAAACTCATCATTTTTTAACAATATAACATTTTTTTCCGCCAGGAAAATGTCTGCTTTCCCTGAAAATGTTCATTTTTAGTTCAGAACACTAAATGTCTTCTGTAGACTATAGGATCTTAAAAGCTTTACAGAACTATTTGGTCTTTTGCCCATTTTTAAAAAGGGGTGGGGGGAACATTTTCAGACAGCTATACAAAATAAGCTCTGCTTGCACCAAACCCTTAACATAAACATATCAAGCGCAAGCTTAGCAGCTGCATAGAAGTCAGCATACAAAGAGTGGAAAGGCTTTTGAACTCATGTTTCCAAATTGGATGGGTCTGCAGCGCTTGTATTGGTGGCGGATGAGGGATAGACAGGATCAAGCATACTTCACAGATCTGTAACACTGTGCTCTACGGTTTCCCCTCCAGTTTTTGGAGCTGAGGGAGAGGTGCTATACAAACCTGTGTGGCAGATTTCCTACCCAAGGCTTCCCATACATTATAGGCAGACTAAATGGCCTTTAGATTGCTTTAACCCTCCTGAGAATAATGGCTATATCAATTAAACTAACAGAAAGGGCAGCAATGCTGCAAGAAGGAAAGATTCAGTGCTTGGCCTGAATCTTGCAGATATCTCTGCATATTTTGCCAGACATTTGCTGCATTCCTTCAAGCTTCTCAGGAACTTTTTAGCAACAATGTTGAGAGCAGTGCATCATATGGTGTGAAGAACACATGTCCTGTTTCTTACAGCTTCCTCCCCACTGCTCTGTTTCCCTTTTGCAGCTTCCTAGGAGAGAAATTTGTGAAAGATGGGCTGTGCTTTAAAAAGGTGAATCATCAAACTCAAATCCCAACAGCAGCACAACCACCTTGAATGAAAATTAAGTTTTTAACATCTGAGAACCCATACAGACTGGTAGGCATATGTGTTGAATTCTTTGTAATCTGTCTATGCTCTTCCTGGCATGTGTCCACTGCTGACATTTTCCTGTTGATACTGTTTCTACATGTACTCATAACCTTCAGACATAGCATGTAAAATTTGTTATTTTCTTATTCTTTCATTCACCTGAAGCGTATCAATTTGCATAGATTTTACTACTGCTAATAATCAGTGAGTATGCAGGGTTTCTTTGCCATGATAGAACTGATCTCTGTTAGAGGAAGAATAGACTCTCGTCAAGACTAGGTTACTAAGTCCAGACTGTTTAGAAATATTTTAGAAGAAACATTTCTTTCTGTAAGCCTTCTCAAGCTGACTGTTTCTTTACTTTCTGTTCAAGGTTAAAAGCAGGACTATGTGTCAGTATGGTACTCCATTCTATAAATTATTTTAATCCGTAAGTTTTCTAAGAAAGTTTTCACACTCTGTTGACAATCCATTGTACAAGAGAGGTAAGTGGGAGTTTTCCTGTCTGATTTACTTTATTTATATGCTGTGCTTCTGTATTCCAGCTCTCATCGTGGACTTTCCAAGAAGAGAAGAAATACAAACTGTATTCTTAAAGCATCACTCCTCTCCAAGTGGTGAGTTCTCAACAGTCAGTAGGCAACACAGATTTCTCATATTAGAAGTGTAGCCACGTCATCTGCTGAACTGATTCAACTCTTCTGAACACTCATCCATTTTAATACATATGTTGAAAGAAATTATTCTAATGCTGTTCAACACTTGAGATTAGGATAAAAGTACTTTCAGTATTGGTTTATTCATTTATTTATTATTTTATTTTGAGTCTTCTTTCCCATGTAAAATATTCTAGTTGAATCTTTTCTGCTCTTCTCCATTAAAGTTGTCACCTTTTCAAATACTGGCTCTTTCACTAGTGTTCATGGCTAATGTGACATGAGAAAGAGAATAGAATTTTATCTGGCTTAGACAACACAGCAGTTACAGTAACTTTTAATTTCAGTAGATGGTGATATTGTGAATACATCCTCAGCAATAAACTCAGCTGGTTATTTGGTCAACAGAAGTGCTATACGGGCTGCTAATTGCAACCCTATGTTGGATATGGTTCCAAGTACATGTTCTAAGTGTTAGCCCAGAAGGCAGTTTTCAAAGGAAAAAAGCTCTTCCAGAAAATTCAGTTGTGAGGCTGGTGACTGAGACGAAAGGCACCAGAAACAACTTTAAAAAGCTGCGGTACCTCCTCTTCCTTCCTAATCATCTGGATGTCTTTTTCCTCAGGGAGCATTAGTGGGTATTGACTAACATATTCAGACAAAAAGTATGGAACAGAGACTCTGTGAACTACTCTTTGCATTTAAGTTGATCTTTGTGTAAATCAACTAGGAAGGTAATGGGGTCACACATTTTACAAGATGGGAAAAAAATATTACTAAATAGCTATGATGCCACGGAAAGGGCAAAAGGTTAAGAAAATGATTAGCTTGAGGGAAGAGTCACATATACAGAGGGATGGAAACACTTGGCTAATAAGTGTGTGGCATTCCTCTGCTGTGATTTCAGAATTCACAATACCAACAAGCTTTTCTTTTCTTTTCTGAACTCATCAGAAAGTCTACATCCCCTATAATTAAAAAGGAAGAAAATCAGTAGGAAATGATAAGGGTATGGGAACTAGGAAGAAATTTTGTACTAGTGAGCATTACCACCATTTAGTTGCATGGACACAGCTCAGTGAGCAGAGTTTAATATTGTAAGTCACAAAACAAATCCCTGCTTTTTCTTTGCATGTTTGAATAAAGTTTTCTCAGTTATTTGATGGGACCAGATAAGAGGGACTCTATGCTGATATCAAATAAAGGAATGTATCCTCCATGACTTTGTTTCAATCCTGTTTACTGCTAGCTATGAGTTTTATTGCGTATTATGAACCACCAAATTCCTTAATATGCTCTATTTTAGGGAAAAGATCTCATGGCTCTATTTAGTAGATCTGCCCTGGCTGGCTATGTATCTGGTTGGATTAGTTGTGAGGCATATTTTGTACAGTGTATACTATAAAATATTCTACTTTCTCTGTCTGGCTGCTCCATATTTTGAAATACAGTTCTATGAGGACCTTGGATATTGCGACTCCCCTTGTGTTTCTTGTCTCTTCTGAAATTCAGTCCTCTTGTAGAATGCTTGCAAAGAACTGCCCTACTAGGCAGAAATAAGGGTTCTTGCAAATTGTCTTTCTTTGGCAATAGTACGCCTGTTTGAGTGAATTCACCTTCACTAGCGCTATCAGTTGGTGACAACAGTGTACCTTACTCCAAGTCTTCTACGTACTGGGAAAAGATTGTAGATAAAATAATGTCAAAGATGCAGCATTTGATGTTCCATCTGTCATTGCCTGTCCTCACTTAAGCAGCTACAGAGAAAAGAGTCTGCAAACGTTCAAAATATTTTTTAATTTATTGCAGGTATGTATGGATGGAAAGTGATGCTCCGTCACATGGATGGGCATGCTCTAGTGTTGTTTACTGTGAAGATGCTTCACATGATGGGAGTTTGTCCCGTTTAATTAATGTCAGTTCTCAATATCCTAGTCACTTATTTTGGAATTTCTCAGATGTCTACCATTTCACTGCAATGCTAGTGAGCTTTGGCAAAGAAAAAAAAGGAAAGAAAAATACTTCTAGTTTTACAAAGGTTTGTATTTGGAAGTTATTTACACTAGCGTTGCTGTTACCTGCTGCCTGATGAGAACTTCCTCAGCCCCAGACCTTATGCGTTGTTGGTTCAGACAGCTGCAGTGAGAATTCCTCCTCAGTCAGCCCAGTGGTGCAGCTTGCCAAGGTTAATCTCCTGTGTGCTAACCTACAGGGCCTCTGCGTGTGAGAAACATGAAAGTACGACCACTTTCCAATGAATGATCTAAGGAAAATTACATAAATGAAAATATAGCAAAGTCCGGTCATCTGTAGTTATAAATAGCTCTGTTGTTTGGTCAGCTGGACTCACACAAACACGCTATTGTTAGAACCTGCAAATGTACACACAGATTTTGAAATAAGAATAATGTATAAAATGAAAGGAGTAATTAATCAGATAAATGCTTGGCTTTTATTTTATGCTGGCAATCTAATAGATAGTCATGTAAGAGTCACAGTGTCGTCAATATCTTGACCAGAGACCTTCAGAAGGTTCACAGTTTTGCCAGGGGAAAGTGCTGTTCTCAGTGAGTGAAGCATCAAACCAGGACTTCTGCAAAAGATGGGCACAGTTCTTCCTCTTCCTGCAGGGGAAAGAGTTGGATTAGAGTAGGGTGAGAACAGCAGTAATCATCCTTACAGGAGAAAGGGGAAACCAAGAAATCATTGTAGCTCAGGTCATTTTTCCATGATTCCCCCACCCTTCTTGTGAACAACAGGTCCCTTTGCTATCACCTGTTCCTTCTTTCTCTTTCCTTCCCTGCCATACTTGGCTTGGGAACAGGGTGAAGGAGCTGTTTGCAGCAGTACCCGCTGCAGGCATGTGGGTGGAACCCTCTGTGGCCTGGGCCAGGGCAGGTCTTGGAGGAGACCACTGAAAGCCACCACATCTCCAGCACGGCAGATGTGGAATCAGATTGCAAGATGGAGAGTTGTTATACAAGCTTTGGAGAGCTAAGGGATGGACCTATGGCTGTACAGCTGGGCCATGCTGATAACTGGGAACTGAGGGAATTGCTGGGCTGAGTGATGGATGGGTGTGAGCTGCAGACTGGCTGTGGAGAATGTACAGTAATTATCCTAGATAAGAGGGTCAGCATGAAATGTGAGGTCCTGAATAAATGAGAATCAACTTTTGATCTGAAAGGTGTCACCTAATGCAATGAGTTCACACACGGGAACAGTATGTTCAAGACTTCTCAGTCGTGCTGCAGTATGCTATTGTCACATGCTGCCCATACCTCACCTCGATGCAGCCTTACGTACCTGGAGACAAAGAAGGCACTTCTCTCTTTCTAAAACCTGACAGAGACAGAGCTTGGTGCTGAATTAAAAGCAGCTGGGAAGCTTATAGCAAGAACTGAGGAGACATGAAGGCCTTCTCAGAGAAAAGGGGAAAAGAGAGAGTGCACTGACCTCAGGCAATTTCTGTTTGTTCCCTTCTGCCCTGCCTGTATTTCACTCAGCTCTCCTAATTATTGGTCTTCCTGCCTTTGCCTTGCAGACCTGCAGAGTGGGAAGTACAGCAGGCAGCCCAGAGGCACCGCAGCCAGAAGAGAAACGGGAGGAGGATGTGGAAATAATTGGAAATCTCTGGGTTCCAGAAAGTCAGCAGAGAGCATGCCAGCACCCTTAAGCTAAGGAGGGCCCTGGGAGAGGGTGCAGTTTGCATATTTGGAAGGAGAGCAGGAAGCATGTGTTGATGAGACAGTGTGAAGGTCTGTGAACTGCAGGAGAGGCATTCTAGGTGGGAACCACACCCTGGCTCTAATTCCCTCATCTCATCTAGCTGCACCAGAAGCCCACACAGGAGCTTTTTCAGTCCCTCTTGCTGCCAGTCGGCTCCACACCACTTTTGGGCTCTACAAATGGCCAAAATGTGGAGGAACATGGGTAGTTTGTGAGTGCTGTGTTTCAAGTGTCAGATTATAAGGCTTTGAAGTTGAAAACCTGTTTTTAAAGTGAAATTTCCTCATATTGTGAAGAACAAAGCAGCAAATTTGCTACCTGAAACTGCCTCCTATCAGTGAAATTATCAAATGCAAATGGCTTGTTGGAGTTATTCAGAGAAAAACAAATGCTTCAGAAGCAGGTTACACATTGAAAAGATATTATTTATATTTTGCTCCCCGAAGAACAGTGCAGAAAAAATACAGACATCCCCTACTCTGTGGGTTGTCATGCAGCCATGAAGCTTTTATCACCCTTGCAGTGGCAGGGACACACTCTAGGCTGAGCAGAAGGGCTTCAGCTTGCTCTTACAGGCACTTTGCTGGAGAAGCTCCTTCTGAGCCCAAGACTCTAACAGGTTATTTCATATGGCAGTTCAGCCAGTGCAAAAGGAGTGGAAATCACCCCCAAACACCCCTTCCTGGAAAGTTCTCCAAAATGAGGGACTTCCCAACTTCAGAGTACTGCCAAGACATCCAACTTCTACATGTCCTGCCAGAAGAAATATACTGTGGGACTGTGCATGGTTACTTGGGCTACTTGTCTGTTAAAAATTAAAATCATTTCTTTAACCAGGCATTGTGATTGGAGCAGGGAGAATCAGGGAACAACATGAACCCTCTTCCAAATTTTTGTCTCTCTTTCCTTCCTGGCTACTTAGGATGGAGGAATCCATCCTCTAGTAGTGTCTCATTGGAAAGCACTGGAAAGCATACACTAAAGTCACTCCTTGTTTCATCTCCCACCTGGAAGCTGCTCAGCAGGGAAGAGGGAAGAGGCAGCAGCTGCTGAGAGCTCTCTCAGTTTGCATCAGGGTCTGAGGTGCAGGGAGGGGGAAAGGGTGATGTGAGGCAGCTGGGGAATATGATGCCCTCTACATCCTTCCTGTAGTGACAGGCCTTATTCAAACACTTCAGTTTAAAAAGCTCAGAGTGCAGCTCCAGGAGAATGCTTTCAATTCATAATTAAATATGGGGCAATAGCAGATGGATAAAACAAACAAATGTGGAGGAGGATGAGGTACATACTCAAACACTCCAGAGTGTATTCTGGGAAGAAGGCATCCACTTTCCACGTGTTGCTTCCCATTCAAGGAAATCTATGGGCAGATGAACTTTGGGACCTTCTTCACTGTGCTCAGAAAAAGCATTACGTGAAGAAGCACCACTTTTTTTTTTTTTTTTTTTTTTTTTTTGTATGGAAGCAGTTCTTATGTCAGTGTGTGCTTGAAGCTCCTCCTCTCCTTCACATGAGGAAAATGAATGAGCAGCTAGGCTTTCTGGCCAGCCCTGACACTTCCCTGTCACTTTGCCAGAAGATGCAGCTCACTGAGTGGAGCCCTGGCACAGCAACCTCAGCATGCATTAATGCTCTGTGGGGCTCCGTGAGTTACACTATTCAAAGCCACTTCTCTGCATGCTTTCTATGGGGCTCTTTTCTCTGCTTGGGCACTGTGCTACCACTCTGCCTGCAGCCAACCCCATTGTTTTAGTGGTATTGATAACACATAGGTTGTTCCAGCAATAGAAGCCTCCAGGCAAGCTGAGAGGCTTCTGTAAGCCCAATGGATGGGTTGCCAGGCAAAGAGCAGAAAGCTTGAGGAGTGCTTAGCATTTATTCCTGTGCTCGTGTTGCAAAGAACTTCATGCAGTGTTTATAACCTGTGACAGACAGATTGCATTGATAACGCAATCGCATTGTGCTGGAGAAAAAAAAATTAAGGTGAACTTCCTCTTCAATCCCATTAATCAGTACATGTTACTGGACAGAATAGAAAAACCTGTGCAACAACAGATATCAATGAAGCAGACCTTTGTATTGAAAACTGTGTTGTAATTTCACAGGGAAATTGCACCTTTAATTTAATAGGAGAATTTTTCTTCTACTGTTTGTGCAATTACAGTTCTCTAACCTTTAGCTTGCTGTCAAAAGTGATCAGTTTCTGCCATCTGCCAGCCAGTCAGAGATGCAATATCATACCAACAGGGAGGTAGAATGCAGAACAAAGTGAAGCCAGCTTGAGGAAATGGTAATATGGGTTTCATATCAACTTTTTTTTTTCTTTTTTTTTTTTTTTTCCCCCCCAAGTTTAGTCTTGGAACCTTGTTTTGAAAGCAGAACATTTTTTGGCATGTCTCTGCTGATTTCTTAAATGTGCCAGTAGAGGAAACATCATGCTTCTGTGTCTTCAGCTTCTTTGTAATAAGATCCAGTTAGACAACTTAAAGCATTAAAAATTCATTAGAGCATTTCAATGTTGCACTCAATGAGACCTGCTGT